GTGGGGGTGGGGGCGAGGGGCCGGGCGGATGAGACAGCCCTGCTGGGCAACGGATCGGATGAATAGAAAGCCGAGGCGCTGCGTGTGCGGGAATTGCCCGTCTGCATCCCGCGGTCAGTTCTCCTCTCATCCTCCCTTCCTCGCTAATCCCTTTTCACTTTTCGTTACCTAGCAAGTTACAGCCCGACTGCATCCCGCGGCCAGCTTTCCCTCCCACACGTTTCCCAGCTAATCTCTTCGTATCCTGAGATGGTATAGCCCGACTGCATCCCGTTGCGTTCATTTCGGGTTTCCGAAAGAGTAAACATAACAGCTAAATAAAATCTTGTTGTAATAATCTCTAACAGAATGTGTACAAATGTTACATGAAATTCTCAATTGCTCGAGTGCTGTTAATCGAGCAATTGCAGCCCACAATTTAGCGTCTATAACAGGCGCGGAAGAAGAGAATTGGAATAATGGAGAAGAAGAAAAAAGAGGAGAATGGAAGAAGGAAAAGGGATTGAACAAAGGAAAGAAGAATAAGAAGAACATGAAGAAAAAGGAAAAAAGATAATCGATTTTCCTTTGTAACAGTATGTTGGAAATTCGCGATTTTTCGATAGAAAAACTTTTATTGACGGGATCTGGTAACAAAATATGAATAAATCTTGTTCCTATGTGTAGTATATCACTACTTCTAACACTCTGTGTAGTCAGAATCCACGTTTTGTGTGTTCTATGATAACGAAAAATCGATGGACAGCTCAGCGTCTGTTCGATTGTCTGACCGTCTGTCAGTGTGTCTGGTTCAACTAAAGCTAGCGCCTAACGCGTTCGGAGGATTCTCTTGAAAACGGTTATCCTCTGATCGATCTAAAGAAGACTGAGTTTGAAACACAGATTTTGATTTTTGGAGGTACTTTACATACAACTGTAACAATGTTTTCAACATTTCCTCAAAAATGGCTCAAAATAGTTTGATTTAACTTTCCCCTCGGATAGCGTAAACAATGGAACGGGTCTCATATTCATTAAAATACCTGGCTCTACGAAAATTGAAATGATTAAAATATTTTTGAAGTCTTCCAACCACTACAATATTGAAAACAGATATCTTCCTGTATAAAATCAGTTGTTCACAGGCAGATCTTGAAAGAGGGCAATGTACAATTTTTCAAAAATGTGAGTAGTTTTTGCGAAATTTTGCGCTAATCATTTTCAATCGAAATTTTCAATAATTATTTTCTTAATAAAAGGCTTCAATTTTTTAAAACCTTCTCCTCATATCATTGGTCATAACCTCACATATCAATGGTCGGGAAAAATATGGTGTCTTATTTTCGGTGAAAAAAAAGGGGATAAAATATTTAGTGCAGGCCTATATTCCAATATTGCACAAGTTAACATTGCAAAAATACGTAATTGAAGATACGAGGTTTTTGTCTTAAAGTTCTAAAGTTCTAAAGTTCTAAAACTTCTGATACTCCATATAACAATTTTTTTAAACGTTTCTTTGGAGTAATTTTTTCTTGAATTTAATGAATTAAAATATGAATTGAACAAATTAAAAAAATCTCAAAAACAGCTCCAATTTCTTTTCGTTTTTTCACTGATTATACCGATTTTCTTACTTCTTTGCGTTACTTTTGGTTGAATTCGTTTTAACTGAAAACGGAGGAGAACTTATGTTTGCATTCCAGAAAATGAATATTTATATTTTCATGTTCGCTCTTTGCGAAACACGTCTTATAGATGAGTTGACTTATATGCTATATTTTATTCTTTTGATTTGAGATTTCTTCAGTTGCTAATTTACTACAGCATTTTCATTTAATTCCATTATTTCTGATATTAATTAATCGTGGTAAAATAAATGATAATTAATTAATTGTGAATCTTTGTACTAATTAGAGCGCATCATGGTTGATTTTGTTTCGTTAAAACAGTGTTAGGTGTTGACTCATCATTCGTAATACGTTATTGCGATTGCTGGTATATTTGATTTGTTGTTCAAGTCATTTTATTATTCTCTTATTTTTATTTAATTATGACTATTTTAATTGTTTTTATAAGTATTGAGACATTTAAATAGTTTATTTATAGTAATTAACAAATGTAGTGGATAAATGTATTATTTTTATGATTTGTTTGTTTCATTGGAATTTATTCATCCGCCGACATTGATATTAAACTTGTTGAAAAATGTGTTATTAAGTTTTAAATACCATTCAAATTTGAATGTCGTATTAAATTATAGATTTGTTAAATTAATATATTTACATATTTAATGTTAATTAATAAAATATTTAATTCTTTTCATCTTATTATTTCAAGATGTTATAATAAATCATTTCATGGGTTCAATATTATCTAATAAAGAAGAAGAACTTAGAAAAGTGAATGGCATCAATATTACGGTGATAGTTATTAGACTTATGTAAGTATCCTGTAGCTGGATAGGTAATGAGTCTCCAGTATGTATCCAAAGATTTAAGACGAACAAATAAATGACGTTAACGGTTTGACATAAATACAGATTACAGCAACACACATCACAATCGCATATAGTTGGAAAGCAATGCCCTTCCCGATCGCAATGTTCCAAAATCTAGGTTTTGTGATTACATGAGTTCTGTGAAGACAAATGAGGAACTGATGGACAACTGGAGTACAGATGCGGATTGAAAAGTAATTTCACTTTTAAAGGAGGTATTTACGTGTGCACAGCTAGTAGATTTTCACAAAAGAGAAGATTTTCACAAAAGGGATTAACACAGTTCGTTGATATTAGCTAACCCGTAAGGAATTCCAACCACTAAACGTTAAAAAGGCACACGGTATATCCCTAAATAAATGCCATTTTCTCCCCAGATTTTAACCCTTTTTCTTTCGGTATTGTACCGCTGACATCGTGAAGTCAGCCTCGTCAATTCTTTACCGCTTGTCTTCCTTCACTGTACTAATCTCGCGCTCTCTGATCCGTCTTCCGCCGCCCAGATCCTGCGCGCCCTCCAAAGCCGTCCGCGTTCCCGTCCGCCCGC